CTGCAACAGTCCCAAACTTTTCAGTGTACACTGGTACCATATATTTCACCTGCCCAGCCACAGGTCACTGCCTGCCTCGTTGGTGCTCATGCAGCAACAGCAGCTGCACAGAAGTAGGCTCATCTCTACTGCCAGACAGACCACTTTTAAACTGTCGGTAATTATGCAGGGATGACAAGCTGCTTTCTATCTAACCCATTACTTGCAGAATTCACAGCTCTCTGTCTACTTACTCCACAGGAAAGACAGTCCCACTTCGATATCTCTGTTGTGGACCACAAAAATGAGCTTCACACAGACAGATCAGGTGACATCAGCACTCTCCAGGGCTTCCCAGTATCAGGCAACTACTATCTGGGTTGGTTTACACACTCATTTCACAGGCAGGTCCTCTGTGACTGCAGAAGAACCTGAATGTTGGGGTGGGAGAAACTCCATGATCTAGGGTGAACCTAAGAAAAGCAAAAATAAAATCTATCTGCATGCCATTACTTATGGTAGACCTGAGGTAAATATTAGCAACTGTTTCTGGAAGAAGGAACAAAACAAACAGGACTGCAGAGTCCACTATAGTCACTGGGGACATAAAGCAGAAGCTCCATAGGTACCACTAAACTCTAAAGAGGAATCTGTCAGAGAAAGAGAGCGAGCTCTTCACTCCTCCAGACTAAGAAGAGGGGAGTGGTAACACAAGCAGCTTGATAATCTCAAAAGCCACTAAATTGCTGGAAAGCAAGGGCAGGGCATTTAAACAAGCATCTTGTCATCAGTGCTCCTAGGAAATCCACTGATCATCACAGAAAAGGATTAAAACATGTTTAAAAAGAGCAAAAATGAACTAAACAAGTGTCAGACAAAATTTAAGCCTCATTCCTGACTCAACGTAAGTCACAGACCAGCCCACGGACCTGTGGGCAGCAGCCCTTAAAATTAACAAGCAAGCTGCACATTATGAAAGTTCCTACATTTCAGATCATCAGAAGGAAGAATCACTACCCAGGGGACTGAAGTTTGCCTCAGTTGCTCAAAGGAAAGTTATGTTTCTAAACAGCAGCAACAGTACTGGCACGTTCCCTCATGAGGTGTCTTTGTACTGCTAAAACACTGCAAAGCACTTTTGAAACTACATCTTGTAAAATCCACAGAATACAATAGTGGGTGAAGAAGTGCAGAATTAAGAAACTTGTCCAAGATCTCAGAACATGCAAGAAACTCAGGAACAGACCCTTGCAGAAACTGGTACAGAATAATGTCCTTCCATGACAACATATTGCATGCTTTTTGGGGCTTTAAAATTAAGTAGTGTCAAGGATTACCTTAAAAGTAGGAAATTCAGATGCTTGCCTATCTGGTCAGGTCTTAAAAGGCATACCAAAACCGAAGAATCTACTGCTCTAAGAAAGCATGCGCTTTAAAATGGCATTCTGCTCAGCTGAAATAACAGAATTTTGAGTCTTGCAGTTCACATGCATAGATAAATTCCAGCACTCCTTCCTCCATCTACATCAAAGTCACTAAAAATATAGAGAACACTCCATGCTCTTCAGAAAGGGACATTCAGCACTCCTGCACTTAGTAGAGGCTAAAATAGGTAAAACTTTACTCACAATGGAATTAAATTACACATATCCCCAAACTGACCTTATATTGAGCCCTATAGCTGTCGATAGCTTTCTATAGAGAGGGGCTGGCAGAACTCTCTGGATAGCACTGTCAAATCCTCTCAAGTGAGGAGAAGCCACTCTTAGGGTACCTTTAAGGAAGCAGCTTTACAGGTAAATATTATCTATGGGGACTCCAGATAGCGTTTTCGTGTTGTTATGCAGATGGAGAAAATCATTCCACACACAGAGCTATGAGAGAATGCACTGATTTTATGAAGCAAGCTATAAAGCCAAGCAACAACTCTAGTGTGGTCCTCAATTACCAAACTGTTAGTAGTCAAAAAACTGACCCAACTGAGGCCATTGCGATGCCTCGTCACTGCATAACAACACTATGCAACTCTCCCCGTGATTATAAGCGGAAACGCACAACGGGTGGCTTCTCTTGTGTCTGTCTCTGTGACTAAGGTTTAACAGTAAACAGAATTTTAAAAATCTTGTTCTTCCTCCACAATCATAGTAAAAATATTCAAGCTTAAAGCAGAGTTAAATGTGTGATTTTCTTCTATTCCCACCACAGGAAAGTAGTGATACATAATTCATCCTAGCATAAATATCTTTGTCCAGGCTCCATTAAGTACATTTAATAAAAAGTACAGTTAGTACAGTTATTACCAAATCTCAACCCTGAAGTTCTCATTCTGCTCCTTGGAAAAAAACTGAAAGCCTGCTACTGTCGTCTGATTTAAGGTTTTTGATAACCCATCTCCAATAACCCAGATTCAAATTTTGGCTTGGATCCCATTGACTTCAGAGTTAGGTGACCTCCTTCCTGTCCTTTTTTTAATACAAAAGTAGGGAATTATCACTTGACTGTGAACTGAAGAAATAATTTGAACAAAACAGCACGTGTCTGCTGGCTAAGCTCAGGATGCACTGGGATGCAGACCCAGACAAAAAGTTCACTTTGCACCTATCCACACCACATTCAGCATTACTATGGCCAGAGTCATGAAAAGCAAAGCCAGCAAGCACACAAAAATCTGAATGCACAAAGAAGCCAAATACTACTGAACAAATCCCACTTGATGCTAATTAACATTAAGGCTGGCCAGAACCTGCTGTGATTCCAACTTGCACTCTCTGTTCAAGCAAAACTTCAGGGAAGCCTGGCACAACCAGTGACTGAACCACAGGTGCAGGAAAAGCTGGTTGGATCTGGGAACTGCTTTCATATCACATGGTGATGGAGAACAGTCCGCATCAGAGCATGATAGTTGGGAATGGTAGCCAGCCAGCTAATCACACAGTGATCGCTCGTGCCTTTTGTTTGTTTTATGAAAAAGAGGTTCTGCCAGTTGGTTTCAGATCAAAATTCTTCCTAATCAAGAAAGAAATAAAATTTATAGAAAATTATGTTCAGTAGGAATTAATCAGAAACACAGTCCTCCTGAAGGCATAAGACTTTTTGGTTAAGTAAAAAGTTGCCACCAGCTAATGTGCAAGACAGTAATGATTAGCCATCTGGTGAAGGTTCCTGCTAAGCTTGCCATGTTACCCCCTATGCTGAGGAAAGCAGAAGGTGGATCAGTTAACATTCTGTCCTTGCCTGCAAATGTGCGGTCATCCTTAGGAACAAGACACAAAGCTTTCCAGCACAACCAGGTTATTGTAACTGTTCCGACTTTTCAGCAGCCCATTTTTTTTTATCACTGCATCCCAGCTAAATTATTTAAAATAAAAATTATCTATTGCCTCTCTGGAAGATGAATTTATCCTCCAGCTTTATCAACCTTTGTTATTTTTGCCCCTTTGTTTCCTTCTGCAAAAACTGCAACTGCCAGGAGGCTTTCCAGTCATCTAAAGAGCATCAGTAAACAAGAGCAGAGACAGATGGCTGCAGCTCAGTTTAAACCCGCACAAGAATCAGCCTCTACCCTGTACTGCAAGTATTACCCATAAGATACAGGCATATGCATAAAACCAAACAAAAATGCAGTAGTCTCAGACAGAAAACAAGTATGCAATCTGATAAAGAGGAAGTCACGGTGAGGACGAGGTGCTGAGGTTTCACGTACAGTGAACATCCATTACAACCATACAGCCTCCCAATAATACAGCAATGGGATGTGAGGATGGCAGGGGGGCAGGGAAGAGTTCTCCCTCCATGGTTGCTCCCAAAGGTATTGCTGGCAAAAAACAATAAGCAGGGAAAGTAAAACCAAGCATTTCCTTCCAGCAAAGTTACTCTTTCGAGAACTAATACACTGAACTCAACCTGAGAAAGTGACAACACCTCTGATAGGCCTCTCAATTCATCTACTACGTCAGGAATTCAGTTACATTGACAAATACCATGTTAACCTCTTATTAAAATGACAGATTCAAAAGAGACAAAGAAAACTCACAAGATAACTCGCAGACTTAGAATGACAGAATTCTATCAAAATTATCATACTGGTTTTTTTTTTTTTTCTTTCCTGGATTTGGTTGCTTTTAATTTACTGCATAGAAGACTACTGGTGTTAGCACACCTGTGCCTTGCTTTGCTAAATAGATTCAGATGTCCACACACATTCAATAAATCTATCTGACTCAACATACTTCAGTTTGCCTCTTCCACACACTATAAATCCACTGCGATTCCACAGGCACACCTGCATGCCTGAATGGCTTACATAAGAACAGGTTTGAACATTGCCCATTCTTCCCTAAACAAAAAATTTGACTATGTTGAAATTAAACTAACAGCTCTTCTTCCTCAGGGCTTCCTGATATTCCAAGTTCTTCCTTCACTTAGTGACAGCAGAAACCTTCAAGAACAGGGTTGCACAATCATCGCCTCCAATCAGCTCTAATTGAAGGATGACACGAGGCAGAACAAGAAACTAGCATTCCAATTAACACAGACAGGAAAAAACAAGATTGTGGGAGTAGTATCATTATTGGTAAAGCTCCAGCAAAACCCTCAGGTTGTAGCATGTTGGCACACTACCACTTCTGAGGTAGAGTTTAACTACTCCTCAGTGCAAGAACACGAGGGAGGGAACAATCTGGTGGTGAATACTGAACAGTCCTGGCCCCTTTTTACCTCAGTGTTCACATTTAAACTATAAGAACCAATTAACATGGAACTCTGTTGATGCTCTCAAGAGAAGCCTGAATCAACCCTTCTGGGAATCAAATCTGTACTCCTGAAATGCAGTCCAACATATACTTCTGCAGGACCTTCCTAAAACAGGACAACTACAAAATAACCACAGCCTTCTCACATTAAACAGTTGCTCCCTTACAGCAATTCACCCACGGTCACCCAGAAAACCTCTCCCATTCATTTCCATGATGCTATTTCCTGCTCCATACATTTAAAAGACTAAACAAAAAGCTGGTACACACCTGTATCCCCATGGAAGCAGCTGTCCTGGTGACATCTCCCAGAAGGCAAATCTCCATCACTTGGCCAGATCTGTCCTGTTTTTCGTACACCCACAATGGTAGCCTCAGACACAATGACCTGCTGCTGCCTGTGCCGTTTTTGAGACTGGGGGGTTGGCGGACTGCTGCTGTCAAAGGACTGCTGAGAGTTCTGGGAGGGAGAACGGCTTTTCTCCCGATACATGCGGTAAGTGGTGGGGCTGGGGGAAACATGGCTGGACTGCCCCGAAGAGAAGTCTTCCTCACTGGAAGTAAGGTTCTCATTAGAGCTACAATCAGGAGTATACCCTCCTCCAATATCTTCAAAACTCCTGGGTGAATAAGATCTCCTTGGCCACGTAAGATGTTTTTCCTGGTCAGTTGTGCCCTGATTTCGTAGAATAGGTCCTTTTCCTTCTCCTTCCCCCATCATTCCCCCAACATAGATGCTCTGATAGGGCTGAAAGTCCATGGGCTGCCAAGGTGAGCGGTTGCTGCCATTGGCATTAATCAGGTTATCTTTGAGAAACCTGGGGTTCAGTTCAGCATCCTCATATTCTCCATCGTAGCCAAAGGTGCTCTCCGAGGACCTTCCCCTGTAAGCAGGCCTCTGGAACTCGCTGAAACTGGGTACCATGTTAGAAGGGAGCGAGTGCAAAGATTTTTTGCGTTCCATTTGCATGGCTTGGCTACCAAGAGAGCTTATTTTATCGGAAACATCTTTATCATTGACCTTTACTAGACCCTTCTCATGATGATACTCCATGTTCACATAAAAGGGCTTTTCAACAACATCCTTGTTATCTCCAGACGAATGTGAATTAACCTTTTTAATCCTCTCAAAATTGGACCTTAGGGCGGCCACGCTGGTGCTGTTCCCTCTCTCCTTAGAAATGGGTTCAAATGATCCCTCCTTCTCAGCAGATCCCACTAGCCTGCGAGTAGAAGCCGATCGGTGTTTTGAAGGAGAGCCATCTGTATCACAGCGATTCTCCATATCTTCTACAACTCTCTTCAGTTTCTCTTCACCATAGTACTTACACCTGTCCTGCTCTCCCTCTCCATGATGGGGGCTGTCCAAAGGTGACAGGTCTGACCCATCACTCTGGGTGGACAGTTTCCGCAAAGAGGGTATCCTGGGTTTGAACTTTTCCTCTCCATGGTGTGACTTGCTTTTTTCATATTCATCTTGGTCAGCAGACTGGTGATGATGCAGGTCTTGGATCTGCTGCTCTGCACCCCCTTCAGGCAACTGAGACACACGTTTAAAACCCCATCTCTGTCTATCATAGCTTTTTTTCTCCTTTGCCAGAAGAGTCTGCAGGTAAATCATGCGGAATCGCTCCTTGTTGACCTCCATCTCTAGTCTCCGAATAGATGCTTTGCACATCTCCAGCTCCTGTTCAATGTCTCCCACAGATTTCAGCTCCATTTTAGGAGGCTCAGAGTCTGCAAATTGTGCTTTCCAAGCCTCCACAAACCCCACAGGGTCCACCATTTTGCATACAGGAGTAAGTGGAGAATACGGGAAGGAGGCTGGAGAGAGATAGGTGGAGAGAATAAAACAACCGGATCTCACATTTAGAAGCAGAAACAGCTCCCGCAGGGTCAACTCAATGCGTCTCTTTCACGGTCCATGCAGGGAAACTGGGAGGTAAACGGCAATCCCCGGAGCAGTCTCTCCTACCCGTCTGCTTCAGCTTTTGCCGGCCCCAGCCCACATACACTCGCTACTCTCTCCCTGGCATGACTGATCTTTTGCTAGCACACAACAATGCTCCCACCCCGGGAATCCCAGAGCACTTCAAAGTGGGTGGACAAAGGAGAAGGCTCGGGGCGGGGGAGGGAAGGTAAATATCGCCCCCCACACCCACCCACCTCCTGCC